TGCCTCTGGTAAATATTACCATTTTATCCATTTTGTAACCAGGAGGACAACACTTTGGAGAATTTAAATAACCTTCCTGATAGCACCTAACCAGGAGGAAACAAACTGCCTTGTGATTCCATATCCTAACACCACACTGATGCCAACATACTTTTCTTAACTGAACGCATTTAACTGTTGCTTAGGTAATGCACATATTATGAGAAGCAACATCAGAGTGAATGACACAGAATGTGAATAAAAGAGCAATTTTCTTAAACTTTGGATACGAATGTTGCTAACATTCTTCTAATTCTTGTTTCTCAAACGCAGGATAGGTAATGAGCATCTGGATTCTGGAGCAAACCTCACACCCCTTCACCTTTCGATGACTTCTGGATTGGGAACTTCCGGGGCACAAAATGAGATAAATGCACTGAGGACAACAGGACAGATGTGGAATCAGGACTGTCTGAGATGCCTGGCTGCTGTTTCTATAAACTACAACGGGGTAAACGGGGAAGGTGGTAATGAAAACGCGCAGGAAAGCTAAAGGCAAGGTCAGCGGGTCAGTCGCGTGGCTCCTGCGTCACCAGGACAGGGCGTGGACCTACGAGGCCGCTGAACGCACCGCTTTGCAAGGTGCTTTCAAGCTGAAATGCTCTATTCTCAGCTTCTGAAAGAACTGCTCTTTGTGGTCAACTGAGGCTCTCGGACAGGAACAGACATATTAACACTCTGACAAAAAAATAAAAAAAATAAACACTCTGACAAGCATCTTCTTATTTACAGGATTTTTAAATCAGTAAGATGCCTGCAGCATGTGACAAGGAAAATCTAGCTGTTAAAACTGTCTCCTACAATATGGGGTTATGATTTTCATTAAATGAAAATAAAACAACAAATAATATTAAGTCAATAATAAAAGTATGTACTTTAAAAAAATTGATAGAAACGTAAAGATTCAATATATACTGAACAGCAAAAACAAAGCCCGAAACACCCTAACACAAAGAATGACTCCTTCCAAGTTTTATTTTAATGAGAACCTTTTCCATCTTGATGTTCCCTCCCTTTTCTCACGCCGTCTGGGGCGCCAGCTTCCTTGGGGGC